TAGTACGGTGTAAAGCCGCCATGCACTGCCTTCAGAGCCTCTAGACATCGTGGCATGGATTGAAAGAGAGCCTGGCTATGCTGCTGGGGAACACAGCGGTTTCTATGCATGACCACAAAGCATCTACAGTAGCTACAGAAATGTCACGAAATGTCAGGCGAACATGTGGGCCAGGGAAGCAATGGTACCCGTCGTTTTTCGCAGAAAGCTTGCACATTCCTCGCCACATGAGGTCGGGCATTTTCCTGCTGAAATATAACATGATGAGCTGCTTGCAGGAAGGGCAGTACCTTGGGCTCTAAAACCTTCGTGATGTAGCGGCTACTGTTCAGTACGTATGGCGAGATCGCACATTGTAGCCAATGGCGCCCCAAACCATCACACTTGGCGTTTCTGCGCTATGGCGCCGAACAATGCAGGCTGGCTGTTTGCAATCACCACGGTAGCGTCAAACATGTACGCAGCCATTGCTGAACCACAAATTCAAGCGGGACTCGTCTGAATTCACCACGTTCTGCCACTCAGCACACCAATCAACACATTCACGTGTCCATTGCTGTCTGAGGCGTAGGTGGTTTCTGGACAAAGGAACCCGATGTAGTGGTATGCCTGTCACCCACCCTGCTCCCAGCAGACTGCGTCGAACCGAAGATGCAGACATGACCACACCCGTTGCAGTGCTCCAAAGTCGAGCCAACACTGTGGACGACGCTGTTCTGTCAGTTACGGGCATGCGGACAAAATGACGGTCATCTCACGCTGTGGTCGCATTTTGTGGTCCAGTACCCGCTCGTCGCTGTGTATGACTCTCATGTATCCACTGGTTCCGCTCACGCATCACTGTCGTAGTAGCGCGTCCCGTTCGAACCACAATGTCACGGTGTGACAAACCCGCTTTCGTGAGACCAATCATTCTGCTCCGTTCGAACTTACTCAGATGCTGATAGTGCGCTCTTTGGCGCCGACGAGGCATACTGACACCCGCTTGCACGTTTCCACGTTCTTTGTCGGCTCTACACTGACTGGATGTGGCGTAACACTGACCTAACCTTTCACATAAAAGGGGGCGCTTCTAGGCCAACGTGTACGTCATCTCTATGTAAATTTAATCACTTCATAAGGATACATTATTTTACACATCCACCGATTTTTTAGTATTTCCCACCATTGATTCTGGGCAGTTTTTACAAACAGAGTGTAAACTGACAAGTACGTACAGTTTTAGACAAGTATTATATGTTCTTTAAACTTCGCCCACAATGACACGAAATGTAAACCAAGCCGGGAGTCAGGGTTCAAAGCTTTATCATAAACTTCTAATCAACTTTTAGATGCACTCACAATTATTTTTTTCTCGAAGTTATCTCTGAATCGGAAACTTCACGATTACACGGGCCCCCATTAAGTACAAAGAAACATTCTTGGTGCATTCTCATTTACAAAACACAGATTTTAAAATAAAATCGCCTTTGGCTTTCAACCAAGATAATTACAATTTCGAGAATGTTGATTCTTATTTGTTTCCCGATCCACATCTAGATTTTCTCTTGTGTTTATTCAAACTGTACAAAACTAAATGACTGAAACGAATTGCATTTTATTACAAAATCAAAGCATCATGAAAATAGGAAAACTCATACATTAATTACTCTTAAAATACGTTATTAAAATGAAAGTAAATAGTAGAAATCTATTTACCTTAAATTTTTGCCCGAGCTTGAAGATCCTGCAATTACACATTTTATAAGTAACAAAAACATTATTAAAACTGTGTAATCAGCTACAAGAACTAACGATATTTTTTAACAAAATGTAAAAATAAGGAACGTAAAGTGTTCACCAAGAAGATGAGATGTAGGTCTAGGAATATCTAGCTGAAGCAAACTCACTTCGGACTATTCAAATGTGTTTAATAAATATTTGCAAAAATAATTTAATTACATTAAAAACTTTTATATTGATTATAATATTGAGCTGTGTTGTCGTGTGAATATCTTGATTTCCACCAGAGTAAACCAAAGTAAAAAAAAAAAAAAAGAAAAAATGAGCCCCTTACACCCTAACTACAACGGAACCCGCCTCTCCAAATGAATGAGTTATCAATGAAGGAGATCTCGCAGGTTAACCTGTCCACGGGCTTGCGCGCCAGAGGCGGACTCGTGGGACATGTACTTGGGTGCAGTTTAGCGCACGCGCTCCGCGTCCGAGAGCAACGTGCCGGCCGAGGGGACCACCGCGCCGCGGGCACCGCGATAGGCGCTCTCGGCTGGCCACTCTGCCTCCACCTGGGGCCGCCGCCCCGCGCAGCCGCGCTCCACCCCCCTGCCGCGCGCCCCGGCGCCCCGCGCCACCCCCACCGCCCGCCCCCGTTAAGCAATTGTCGGAGCGGGACCACCCCACAGAGCTTTCAATCCGGGATAATTTGAACAGGTGGAACGGTGCGGCGGCGGTGCGGCGGGGAGAGGGCAGGGGCGGCGGCCGGCTGCACCCGACGACACGCCACCTTGCAATCAAAGCCCGTAACAGCGACCCATCGCGGCCGTGTGTTATGTTAATGTGTATCATTCAGTCGCTGTTTCTGGAAACGGGAGATCTTCATTTGGTTGCAACGCTCTCTGCGCTAGATTGCTCAGCCGATGAACTACTGCCAACTGCATAGTCAGTGGCAAGGCGTCACGTTTCTGTATAGTCATTGGAAGATTTGTCGAATATCTGGGCCTATGTTTCTGAATTGATTTTGTAACGGGGTATTCCAAATATTTTTTGTAGTGTGTTCTGTATTTAAATACTCAAAGAACGCTCATTGTTATGATATTATTTATCCTGTTCTTTTCAATAAATCTTTTGAATGCCGTATGATTATATTGAATTTCAAATTGCCATTGAATTCTTTTGTTCCTCATTCCTGCGACCACGCACGTGCGAAACCTACGTTGGAGGTGGGGTAAAACAAAAAAATCATTACGTTACAATTAATATGATTTTGAATATTCTGATTCTAAGCTTAAGGTGATTTTGTAAGAGTACCTAATTAAAAAAGTGGTGCTATAAAAGTACACACTTTCTCACATTATTTGCATCGCCTCCCCAACATTGTACTACTAGTACATGAACCTGCAAAATTGATTTCAATCAGAGATTTATTTGTGATTGTTTTTTTTCCGGTACTCGGCCTCAGGTCCATCCAGTTAACTCGCCGTACGCTTTACCTCTACACCAGACTCTTGACTTACTCACTTCGGCCGACTCTTAAAATATAATTGTCTTTCCCATTATTTTCAACTCAAAATTAGAATTAAATGAAAATGCGACCTACACCAATCCCTTGTTGTATCCGTGAAATAATTAAAAATTGTAGCGGGTTTTGAAAAAAATGTTTTAATCGCATTAATTTCGTGCATACATTACGTGAAAACTACTATTTGTTTTTTCAAAATTTGTACATGATTTGCTTAAAAGAGCTGATTTTTTTACAGTATCGTTTGTTTAACGTAAAAATCTCTAGCTTCAATTTGCTAGTTTCGAAATGTTAACTTCTTGCATTTTTGGAGAATGTAGTGTTCGCAAGAAATGATCACCTTTTTTAACCGTCCTTCGATATATTCGAGGAAAAGATTTAAAGTAAAACTTTTAAGCGGCTTTTGAGAAAATGCTTTTATATAAACTTAATTTATTTTCAAAACAAATTATACTGATACTACTTGTTGTTTCGTAAAAATGTTAATGATTTTTATAAGGAGCTGATTTTGTTTGATCATCGCCACACCTATCTATGATCGAACGCATTGCCCCTGTACGTATTGCATTCTTCTCGGGCGCAGACACATTCTAGAATGTGTGCTGAAGAGTCATGCAACCCACATTCAGAAACGATATGGATTTCCGTTCCTGCAGCGTCAAATGAAAGGATCTTGGGATATTGTACAATATCAATGTATCCACAGTGCGAGATTGAATGAAAGCTCTCAGTGTTGTAATCCAACAAGTTGGATATATGGAAACCTCATCATACAAATTAATACCCTAGACACTGATATATAATGTACTATTTCACAAAGAATGTTATTAATATTATTTGATAGTATGAATGGTTAAATGAAATTAATTAATGCAAAATCAGCGTACCATAGCGAATGCAGTTTCGAATCAGATTTCATTCACCAGGGAATTTTAGGTTCTAATTTGGGCAGTGACAGAATGAGGGGAGATCGATCTCTGCCTCACTACATGAATGACAATTATAGTTCCCGAATATATGATCCACTGTTTTCGTGCTTTCCTGGATCAATATTTCTGACAGATGTTGGAGCAGTATCTTCAACAAGTCACTGAACGGGCGCGATCCTTCCTTACCTATTCTGCCTTCGTTTCGTGAGGGCCAGTCAATGAGTTCGTCCATTATCCCATATTGCTCCTGCCTCAAAGACTGGAATTGGGGAATGGGTCTCTTGACATACATTTTTGCACCAATGCCTCCTTCCATTGAGGCCCAGGTTCGATCCAGGGCAAATCCATGTGAAATATGTGGTGGACAAAACAAGCTCCCGGCAAGTTTCCTTGTTTTCCCTGCCACTCACTTCGCCATTGTTCTATCATCGTTTTCGCTGCAATTTAGAACACTAATGACCTTAAACGACCTCAGAGCTTAAGACTACCTAAACTGATCTAAATAATAAATAATAATAATAATAATAATAATAATAATAATAATAATAATAATAATAATAATAATAATAAATGGCCCACTCACCAATAATAATACTAATAATATCATGATATAGACCGACTTCGGCAGAACCTACGGCAAAAGGATATCAGATCATGGTCAAAATTTGTCTGTAGTAATACACCATTTATAAAATATTCTGTTTCTATCAAATATGAAAAGTTAATAACATTTAAAGTTGTCTTAAAGTACAGTTATGCAGGAAAGTTGCATAATAGACATTATATACTGAGAATGTTACTGCTATATTTGATGTATTATTCTCTTATATTAGATCCCAGTATCAACCATCGAGACAATGGTGTTATCTGACATCTAATGTGCCTGGAAGAAGAGATCCTTGTTCTTATCTGTGAAACTGGTGATTTTAAGGAGCATCATAGTAGGATCTTCATTCACCAGGGCTCATCGAGTCTCTTCGCATCACATTCAACGAAAGTAAGTTAAGTATTTTAATTGTTTTGCATCAATATATGTTCTGCACGTTACACCGGAAGTTCAGTTAAATGCAACTTATCTGCAGCTAGTCGTGTTCGTATTGAATCTTAATCTTCATCATTTATTACTTACATTTCATTGTTTTACTGATTCGTTAATCAGAACTTCCAATGTGAATAACTTCTAGCTTTTCTGGAGGAACGTAAGTATACTTAAAGGTGTGCTTGATTATAGTAATTGACTCTTCGGCAATATGTTGTCTGGAATATTAATTGAAAATGGCGTAATTGAGATCACACAAGATCTTTCGCTAAGCGTCAAGTTGGCATCAACATTAGCCAACGAAGCCTGTGATGTGCAGTACTTAAGACGCGCATGCGAGGGAGTCCATCAGCGGCAAGGGGCTCGCTTCCAACGCGTCCCTCAAAATCCGCTTGGCCCGGGGCGGCACGGGGCGGCGGCTTCCGGAGGAGACCAACGGCGCTTTATGTGGGACCTGCGGGAGATAGCGGCTCCGGGCGG